GGCAGCCGCAGGCTGGACGAGGCAAGGAGCACTCCACTGGCAGAGACTTGTGTAGAGAAAAGGCAGAAACCAAGCATGGAAAATGCTGACTGGCTGTAGCTTGAAGGCTACTTGGCTGTTTTGATTGGCTGCCCTTGGGTTTCCATTTCGCGACCTTGAGGCATTTTCAGGCCTAGAGTTTGGTCTGTTTATGTCTGCCACATCCGTCTAACGGCCCCTTGCTTAATCAGATTGGCAATCGAATCAATTGTGTGCACCTGTAAGCATGTCTGTAGCACACTGTGCCTAGATGAGAAATTGCTAGAAGGAATGGGACAAAGAATGGATACTGGGGATATCTAGATATCTATGACTCAGCTGAGACCAGATAAAACTTATAAGTTAATTTACAGAGATTGGACAATTTCTTTTTTTTTAATTTTTTTTTTCAACGTTTATTTATTTTTGGGACAGAGAGAGACAGAGCATGAACGGGGGAGGGTCAGAGAGAGAGGGAGACACAGAATCAGAAACAGGCTCCAGGCTCTGAGCCATCAGCCCAGAGCCTGACGCGGGGCTCGAACTCACGGACCGCGAGATCGTGACCTGGCTGAAGTCGGACGCTTAACCGACTGCGCCACCCAGGCGCCCCGAGATTGGACAATTTCTGATGACTTCGTATCCAAAAGCTTGCTGAGTGTTTCTATTTATTCAGTTCTCTTGTGAGAGAACTCTTCCTTCATCTTAAAGCTTCCTTCATCTAAGACTTCCTCATTTCTGACTTAATTTTATTCCTAGCTGTTTTCTCTTCCATTCTTGTTGCTATTAAATAATGTGGTCTTTTCTTTAGACTTTCTCTTCTGATTGTTGTTTGTATATGCAAAGCCCATCGACTTTGATGTGTTAATTGTGTAAAAAAAAAACACATTTCTGTTAATTCTCTTAGGTTTTCTTTTTTTTTTTTAAGTTTATTTATGTTGAGGAGGTGGGGTGGGGAGGAGTGGGGAGAGAGAGAATCCCAAGCAGGCTCTGTACTGTCAGAGCGAAACCCAGTGTGGAGCTTAAACTCACTAACTGTGAGATCATGACCTGAAGCAGAAACCAAGATTTGGACGCTTAACTGACTGAGCGACCCAGTCGCCCCTCTCTTAGGTTTTCTAGCTTACAATTACAACACCTGTAAAAACTAATGCTGTATCTCCTCCTTCCCAGATTGTAACCCTCAATTGGTTTTCTCTCCTAAATGAATTAGCCAGTATCTCGAGTAAAATATTTCAAGTGGATACCCTTGTCTTGTTCCCAACTATAGTAGTAATATCATTTTCATTATCCTCAATCAAGAAGCCTGGAATAGAAAGTCCATTGTTTTCTGATTCATTGAAATGGAAAGTAAACACACACACATTTTAAAGCATTGCTTTATTAGAAACGTTTTGTGCAATGTAACTGTACAATCAATCATCCTGCAACAAAAAGATGAAATGGATAAACCTGATACATTTTTCTATCATCCATACTCCAGAAGACCAAAAAAAAAAAAAAAATGTTAAAGGTGCACCACGGTTTGGATATCAGCTTTAATTTCATGTAACAAGAGTAAAATTTATGAAGCAATAAATTATATGACAAAATTCACAGATTAGATAAGGTGAGGATATTAAAAATAAAAGTACTCAATCACTTATACAAGGAGGCATTAACCAAAGAGTACAATGTTGTTTTCTCAAATGCTTTCAGGAAGGGTTTCTTTCTTTTTTCTGAATGATTTCTTTTCAGATTTCCAAGAAAATCTCTCCATTGCCAAGCAGTAAATGGTTGTTCCTGGTATGGTTTTTGTGGTGGATTGGGACAGCGGGGTGGGTAGGTCTGTTGAAGCCTGTCTGAGCTGAGCCAGACTTCTGGGGCTTACCAAGGTGTGGGAAGCTGAGGGTTCCCTAGCAGGATTCCCGAGGTGATCATGCGTTCTTAAGTGAACAAAAAAGCCCCATGGCTCGAAGCCTCAAAAAGACATTGAAGCATATTAGGAAGCACATTCTACCCGTCTCTGACCCCTACTGTCACTCCACAGGTCCCCAGCTCTGTGCCTTGGGGAAAGCTCACTGGTCCTCGAAGGCTCTGTTTCGTCATCTACAGACATCTATAGGGCTGATACGAGAATTTAATGAGATAATGATTACAGAGGTCTTAGGACAGTCCCAGTGCACACAGTTGGGCCTTTCCACATTCCTGGAGTGGGGAATCCAGCCTTACTACAGAGGAAGAAAGGTTTCCAATGTTAGATTTGGGGGAACATCATTTCGATCTTGAAATTTCAGGAAGTTGGAAGGAACAGAATTGTTACCAAATGAGATCATGCCCTAACTCAGGCTGGTCAAAGATAAACGGGCGGCCATTTGAATGCCAGCATCTCAGCCTGGTGGGCAGAGTAACCTGTGACTCATTCTGTCATACCACGTCACAGGGAAATCAGACTCCAGGTCACCATTTTCAATCTGCACTTTGGCTTGTGGTCTTGACTATCTCCGTAAAAGCTTCAATTTGCATTGTGGTTTTGGTGATTTTAAATTCAGGCCCTGACAAAAACTGTCCTATATTATGGTTTGGAACACAAGGTCCCGGGTCCTCGAAGGTCACAGTGGCTGAAGAAGGGACTTGTCCTGAGGAGGTCATGTGGCCAGAGGAAACGTGCTGGCCTTTAGCAGGCTTCCTGGTTGACTCTGACAGCAGCATAAAGTACAGATGGGTGGCAGCACGTGGTTAGAGCATCATTCACCTGCCCTGATACTTACTCAGGCGTCTCGACAAAGAAACAAACACACTGTTCACTTGGAGGTCCTAGAGAACTCTTATCTGGGGCACATTGACAGCTGTTATTAGCTTCCAGAATTTTCAAGTACGTCATGACGTCACAGAAACACTCATGATGGTATCTGAGTAACACGAAACACGTGGCTTAGTGCCTGTTAAGATGTCTTGTGTCTGGGAGCCTTCCCAAAATGATGCATGTCAAAGTAGACATTTGTTACTGGTGATATGGTCAATCCTGACTCTTCCCAAGTTTGGCTTCACTGGAATTAATTCAAGGATTCAAGGATTCCAAGCGGCATGTCACAAGGACATCACACCTTCCTGACGTGATCATAAATAATTCACTAATTTGGTCCATCATTAAAAAAAAACCAAGAATTCCTAGAACAAATTAATTATACTTATTATTGAAATGTGTACAGTGTATTTTTTTAAACGCTCAAGATAAAATTGAGGAACCACAATCAGCAAATTCACATGTTGTGCTTTCGCTTTGTTCTCTGGACCCTGGCCAGGTGCTGGCTGAAGCAGGGCATCTCTGAGGATATAAGTGCTGCCCAGCACGGGAGGCTTCGCAAAGCACCAGCTGGCTTCCGGAAATGACAGTGCGATTTCAGGAAATGACAAGAACTGTCCAGCCCCCATGGATCCTAACGAAAGGAGGGCCATCACTATTCTTGTAAGTATAAATGAGAACAGAAGCAAAAAAAAAAAAAAAAAACCCTCAACAAATCAATTAGACTTATCAAACTGTGGCAAGCAGTTCCTAAGCTCAACACTGTGCAAAAGCTTGAGTCTGGCTGCTGTCACAGCCGTGTACATGATGGAAATCAGTATTTGTTTGGACCATGACTTCCCCCAGAGAACGCGGTGCTGCACAACATAGATTGGCAGGGTCTTAATAGGACTTTAATAAAATCTATGATCCATTAAAGTGTAGGTTAGACCAAAAAAAAAAAAAAAAAATCAAGCGGGTTTCTTTACTGAGATCTGTCCCAGTCTGATATGCTAATGTGCACTGTGGCTCTCCAACCGGAAATGATGGCATGGCGTATTTCCCAAACGGATCTGACCGAGGGAGACCCGTTCATTTGTGGAGCATCTCTTAGAGGCTGCTGTGCTCCCTGCACCTTGGGAAATGCTGGCTAATTGAACGTAGCCTGTTTTACAGCTGCCTCCACAGGGAGGGGCCTACAATGCCCCACATTACTGAGTATTTACTACCTTACAGAGGCCTGTGCTGCCTTCCTGAGTACTGCACTGCCTTCCTGAGTATGCACTGCCCCACTGAGCAGGCACTGACTCAGTGCAGAATACTATACCGCACTGAAGGTTTCCACGTCCATGCCCTGCCTGGCACTGAGCCAAACAGGTTTGCGAGGAAAACAGGAGAGGCCCAGATGTTTAAACACGTCACCCGATCCCTTCATGCCCCTGCTCCCCTTCCTGCTGTCATTGCGGGTGAACTTCGGGATGTCCCGGTGAAACACCCTTGCCGCACAAACAGGTGTTGCCACGATAGGAAAACCGAATGACTGTACCTCACTGACAGGCTGTTACTTTAAAGGAATATCTTTTGGAATTCTTCATATTAATTCTTCTGAGATTTTAGTGACTCACAGGAGAAGGTGAAAAGCTGTTAATTCCAGATTCTGGGGTTAATTAGCCTTCTTATATCATGTGCCTGTAGGAAAGTATAACAGGTGTGGCGAGAGAGAGACTTAGGTTTAGTTTCCTTGTAACGGGTTCTTAAATCAGGAGATATTTTAATTGCAGCAGAAAGCAAGACGGCACAGGGAAAGAGACGTTTTTCTAGCAGGATTCACCCCCGACTTCTGTCTAATGGGGGCTGAGACGAGAAGACGTTCAAGACTCGCGGTAGGGACACGGGGCAGGTGCCTCTGGCTGACATTCGGAAGGAAATTCAGATCGGTCCCCTCCTGTATTCCCATATACGGTCTCCAGGATCTCGGCCCCAGGAGAGCCAACAGGGACCACCTCCCTGCACGGAGCCCTCCAGGCCCTATCTCCACAGTGGATTCAGGCACATGGGTCATGCAGGGGAGGTGAGCGAGGCCTCCCACGCATCTATATTGATGGCGTGGCC